TTGTATGTCTCAAACACCTCTTAATCTTGTACCGGTGGAACAACAAGAAGAAGATAAAGCTCGAATGGGAACTGAGAGAGAATATGAGGCGGCGTGATTGGCGTGTGAATTGGAGAATTCTATTCTCTTCACATGATCTTAATGATGTATATATAGAGCTACAGTAGGGACCCTTAGGAGATTAGAAGAATAGCTCATTAATTAATTAAAATACTTGTGGACCAAGCCACTTATTTTAATTAATTAAATAATATTAAATAGGCCACCAATATAATATTATTGCCCTTCCTTTTCCTAGCCCAATTAACAATTGAGACTCCAATAATAATTACTCGATTTACCTCTCCATGTTTAAGATATAATGTCCATTAATTAATTCGATTACTGACAATCAAGAAGAGGAGGATGGTCAATGTGAGTTTGGACTAAAACTGCAGGTCGGACGATGGAAATCAGAGTGGCTTCAAGAACTTCAGCAAAGAAAGTGTCGGGAGAATGAGAGATATGTCGAGTGGTCGAGGAGGACGGAGGAGACATGTCTTTTCTGAAAAAAAAAAAAAAAAAAAAACAGTCGTTTTCATTCGAGGTGGCAGAATCTGAAAAACATAATGGAAAAAAATATCAAAAAAGAAAACTTTTTTGGGATTTCGAGTGGAGAGTAGGAAGAAAAAGAAGGAAGTGTGTCGCCGGCGAGTCAAGCGAAAATTCGAAGGGGCGTTGATATAGCCACACTGTCGTATAACGGTTCAATACCATCGCGGTTCAGAGATTACCGAGTCGACTTACGCCAAGTCGACTCTGTCCGGAGATTCTTTATGATATCTCCTGTCAAGGGTCCAGGCATTTCTCTCAGTCGACTTCCACATGTCGACTAGCAAAAGTCGATCCTCTCCGGGAAGACGGTCAAGAGCGTCAGGGTCAACTGACGATTGAAGATGACCCAGTCGACTCGAGTTGGTATCCCCAGTCGACTGAAGAAGTCTCGAGGCTCGTAGATCTCGGCGACTCTATTACACTTCAACATATCATAAGAAAGTTGTCAAGGATAAGAAGGAAGCTACTAAGGATAAGAAGGAATCTAAATGCTGACTAGGAGATGGACGAAATGCGAACCGACCAGGGTATTTTGGACATTTCCAGTAAGTCGGCCAGGGCATTTTGGGGACTTCAGGTAAATGTTTTACTTCTATATAAAGGAGCTGAGGTAACCACAAAACCCTAACTCCCATTCATTCTAGACTTTCCTCCATTACTGCTGCTCTCAGAGCAGCTTCCTTCATCTCATCTCTTTCACATACTGACTTGAGCGTCGGAGGCTCACGCCGGAAACCCCTCCGGCGTTGAGTTCTTGCAGGTTTTTTCGTGGTTCAACGGTTTGGAGGCTATCAAGTCAGATCTGAGCTCATTCCCATCGGTTCATTCCAGATCTGGGCGGTTTTCCATCGGTTCACTCCATATCTGATAGGAGACCCATTAGGCGTCGAAAAATAGAAAACCAGAAAATTCAAGTAAAAAACTCGAATTTGAAGGTCTGGGAACTTACTCATTGTCGTGGATTGGAGAAGTCGCCAGAAAAGCTTGAGTTGCAGAGAAGTTTGTCACCGAAAGCAGGAAACACAAAGAACTAGGGCACAAGTTTATCAAGAATTTGTGAAGGGAGAAAACCGACAAAAGTTAAGGTTGGAGGTATTTATAGGAGGTGAAGAAGGTAAGTGAAAGGGACAATTGATTATTGATTGTTGGATCAAAGGCGAATTGGACGGTGCAGATTCATCAGGTAGTTAAAAATGTTTGGACAGATTAGCCGTTAGATTAAAGGTGAATCAAACGGCTGTTATGAAGAGGTGCATTTAATGGTTGTGAAGCACGAGTAGGCGCGAATCACGAGGCAATGATTGACGCGTTTGACAGACACTACATATGGCAATTTTGAATTTTGAAATTTAAGAGGGTGGTCGAAGGTAAAAAAGTAGAGGACACCTATTAACTGACGGATAGACAACGAACGTGACGACAGTGGACGGACGAACGAAAATCTACTCTTAGATTGAGTCATTCAGACTCGACCAGAGTGGTGAAGATTAGATTATATGGGATACTACACCCAAAGGAGTAAATCGATCTGGTAAGCTGATCGAATAAATGGAACAAGCCGTCCTGGACGAACAGAGTCCGAGTAGGGTGTTCGTGGTCGAACATCACAGGAACAAGAGCATCTAGATTGGAAAATAGCTTAAAAGTGATTCTGGTACATGGAGAGCAAGTCGATCCCAGACCCTTGGAGGGTCTGGTCGAAGATCGACCTGCGGCACATGTGGCACGATCTGATTGGTCCACACCGCATAACTTCTCTGACACACCTCTAGTGTGTGTTGTACGAACGAGCAGCTTGGGCAACCACCTAATCTCATCCGGGTAGCCTTCTGTAAGCATGTACCTCACCCCTATATATAGGGGTGAGCTTTATGATTTCAGCATGATTTTCCTATTATATTCTTGAGAATTGAGTTGAGCGAGATATGAAATTAAGCATTGGAGGCTCTTTACCGGAAAGCGCTTCGGGTGTGAGAGTTTTGTAGGTACTCAGCGTTCTATCGATGAGGGAGAGTTCGAGGTTGGGAGATTCTGATGTACCGAGTGTTATTTTGAATATAAATAAAAATATTGTTTTACAAAAATATTTGAAAAACAAAACAATTATTTTTAATTTTATTTTAAAATATAAATTTATTAACAAACGCCATTGAGGTATTGTACTAATTTTTGTTATTATTTGAAGAAATACGGATTCGATTATTTTATTTTTATTAATCCGAAAAGATTATAATTCGGTTTTTCGATTTGGGCCTTGGATCATAATTAAAAAGGTAAACCCAGCCCAAGACAAACCTATTTCCGATATAAAATTCTGTAACAAGACAAATAACCTCAGAATTAGGGGTGTTCACAGTCCAGAGTGGTCCGGTTTTAGCCCAAATCATGACCAAATTGGACCTAACGGTTAATTTTTTTCTTGTCCATAATAGGACCGATTTTATTTTTTAACCGGCCACAATCCAGACCGCATTAGACGGTTTCCACCACTGGATCGGAAAAGGGGGGGGATTCTAGCCTTGGCGGTTAATCGGTTAAATCCCAAATCCTTGCTTTCGGTCTTCATATATATATATATATTTTTTATTTTGGGTTTAATTTTTATTTTTCAATTTTAGACACAAAAGAGATTATTTGGGCCTAAAAATTAAGAAAAACAACAATAATGAAATAAAAAATACACAATTCATCCCATAAGCATAAAAATAGATTCCGTCCCTTAAACATAAAAATACAAATGTGGGAAAATCTGAAAATGAAAAACGAAGGTGGAAAAAAGTTAAAAGTTATAGTGTATTAGAAAATTAAATCAACAAAATGCCAAAAAGTCAAAGTGAATGTATTGTATTTATCGGTCATAGTGAATGACTGAATGTATATATTTATTTGTTATAGTTTTTTAATATTTACCAGTCCGGTCCGGTTAACCGGCATTTTGCCGCAGATAATCCGTTAACCGGACTAGTTATTTCGAATTTTTAAAAAAATTAACTACCGAATTTTTAAGGCCTTTTTAACCGACTATTTAAGCGATCCGCAGTCCAGATTGACGGTTTTTTTCCTTAAAACCGGGCGAACACCCCTACTCAGAATTGCATAACCCAGCCGCAGAGATGTCTTGTATGGAGGTGGTGGAAGAT